ATACAGCTTCCGCCTGGCTTTAAGCGTCGGGAGGGACCGTTTTATCCCTGACGGGAGCTGGTTTCTGAACCGATAACTGGAAAAGCACGCTCACCCCTAGTCTTGCGACTAACTAACCACAATGAAACAAGAGGTTTTCTAGTGTGCTTCCTCACTTTCAAACATTAACTTCTGTTTTTAAGCCCCCCGTTGTTTCACTTCTTCAAAATAAAAGTTTTCATGTTGCAAAAAAGGACAAAACTCCAGAGTTTGAGCTGATTTTTCCTGTTTCACTTCGCCACTAAATGAAAGCCTCTATTAACACTTCAAACATTAAGAAACCCCATCCACCCTTTCCATGTCAGGATTTAGTCTTAGCAATCATTTTCCTAAAAAACCCTTATTGTGATGTCACAATCAGGAAAGTTAGCATAAAACCACAACTAACCTGTTGATGCAGAAGCAGCAGCTCTGCTCAGACTCAGAGCCTATGCTCAGCCATGTGACGACAGATTTTTCTTTAGGTGATAAAGGTGCGACAGGAGTCTCCAGGTGGGGGGGCGGAGCCTATTACTGCAGGACGTTCACTTTTGAACCTGGCTTTATGAATTTGGAGAACGATTGAAAACAAATAGGGACATCTGTGAGCTTGAATCAGAAACTTTCAACGTTGTCAAACATGAACTAAATAAAAATCTACGAGCCAACCGCCTGAGAGGCAGAGCGTGTTCTGTCCAACAGCAGCAGCTGATGCTTGGCCACACCCACTAGAACCAACCGTATACAAGAAAACCGCCCCGATGATTCTCAGGGGGAAATTCCCAGATCACAGCAGGAAGATGGAGGGAACAGGCTGAACGAACCAAAACTACATTTAAAAGGATTCCAGAGATTACATTTCAAATTTTCCTCTGGGTTTAATAAAGTATCTTTGAAATGATGTGATTTTTTTGTCTATCAGAACAGCTGATTCTGCTCAAACCCACATCTCTTCTTCTGCTGTGTTTTTATTAGCTAACTCTAGCTCTCTAGAGAGGCACGAAGGTTTCTGCAGTTACGATTGATCGCCTGTCGACCAAACTCTCCGAAGAGCAGAAGCTGTTCCTACATTTGGGAAAGTTACAGAACGGCTAAATGTTCCGAAGCGCGGCGTCAGTCTGAGACGACAGAAGCTCAGACACACGCGTTTGATGAGAGGATGTGCTAATGAAGTGTTTAACCTCGTTATCCAAAAGCTTCAGCATCTGCAGCTTTAAGTCTGGGAGGCAAACAAATAAAGCTTAACTGAAAGAAAAAGCGCTTTCACATGACATGTGGTCCAGTGCTGGCTGGAAGGCATGTGGGAGACCTCTGCAGCCAGTTTGGGTTAGGGGTTGATAAACAATAATTCATGTTTAGGTGCAAATCTTTATCTCAAGGCCAAGATCCAAAACTACTGCTTAGGCTCTTACCACTACTACAAATCCCAGAATGCACCTGAGCAAACAAGCTGGACCAGAATCTGAGAAGTTACACAAGCAGAAGATACAGAAGCTGCAGAGCAAATCCTGTTGATGGTTCCAACAGGTCCTGCTCATCCTGCTCAGAACTCAGGTCGGAGTTCTTCAACAGGAAAAAGTGGAATGCTCCAAACTTTGGATGATTGGAAAAACAAGGCCTGAGATAAAAGAGGCTGAACTTCCTCGTGATGGTCAGTTTCAGTCTACGGCCCAATCCCAACACTCGCCCTGCGGACTTCAGCAAAGTGCACTTGCAGAAAGTGTGCTGTAGGCTTCGAGTGCGTAGTTCACAGGTGTGCCGATAATTACAGAATTGAGACAGCGAGTCATCGATCGCAACGCATGCCGGGAGGGAGGGAGGGAGGGAGGGGGGTGGGTGGGAGGGAGGGGGGTAGGTACGTAGATAATCTTTATTGACAGACTCTTAGGTCCAGATAAAATACATATAAAACAACAGATCATCAAAAAAACAATTAATGAAACAAAATAAATAAATAGAAATAAAAGATAACAGCATAAAATTGAATAAAAATCTAAATGTAATTTAAAAACTTTACTATAAACTGTTCCACACAAGGTTAACCACACAAACACTTCAACCAGTGTTTCCTTATACTGGACAAACAGCAACAACTGCTCACAGCAGGATCAGTGATTGCTAAAATTATACTGTTGGCAGAGCTATCCAGTCGTTCTCTAAAAGTGAATATTGGTTTTCTTAAAAGAGCTTTAAAAGTACAAATGCCTGCTGTTACAAACATCTGACTGGCACTGCCCCCTCTGGGTATTTTGAGTATGATTCTTAAGGCATCATTGTATGCAACATGCAGCTTATTCGTGCTGCTTTGGTTGTAGGATGACCACACTTGGGCTGTATAAAGCAGAGTACAATATGCTATAAATAAAGCCACCTTAACTGGAGGTGAACAAAAACCAAACTTACGTGCTAAAGTATTAGCTTGTGCATACAGCTTACAGCACCGTCTGTGGATGTCAGCATCATCACGCATTTGATCGGTTATAAAGTGGCCAAGGTATTTCACCTTCTCACACACATTAAGATCATTATTAGACAGTCTGAACACAGGAAAGTTTAGCTTTTTATCCTGCTTGGTTCTACATATCAAGATAGCACTTTTAACAGCATTATACTGGATATCGTACTGCCCACCATATTCAGAGCAGATGTTTAGGAGCTGCTGTAAACCAGCACTACTTAGACTAAAGACCACCAGGTCATCAGTATACATCAGATGGTTGATCAAAGTTGTACCCATCAAACATCCTGTGTTACAGGCTCTCCGCTGCACTGACAGATCGTCAACATACAAATTAAATAAGATAGGAGACAGAATTCCACCCTGCCTAACACCATTACTAACGCCAAATGGTGCAGAGATGCTGGCACCCCATTTAACCTGCATCATCTGATGAGCATACCAGTAAGACAGGATTCTCACAATAACCCAGGGACCCCCCGTAGCTTTAACTTAATAACAAGTTTTCTGTGGTTTACATGATCAAAAGCATTAGAGGCATCAATAAAACACATAAGGACAGAAGAATTTCTATTTCTATACCAGTTGACCATTTCTTTAAGTGTGTATATACACATGTCAGTACCATGTTTTGACTTAAAGCCAAACTGATTATCCAAGGACCTGAGGTACACAGTGACTCTATCAAATATGATTCTTTCTAAAACTTTAGACAAAACACTGGCTAGTGCAATCGGCCTATAATTATCTATACTGGTCACCTTCCCAGATTTGTTCTTAATAACTGGAACAAGCAGAATTGCCATCATTGAGTCTGGTAGTATGCCATGAATCATAAACCCTGTAAAACAAAGAGCTAAAAGGGGAGCTAGTCTTTGGCTAGCATATTTCAAATGCTCTGCACTAATGTGATCCAGACCACAAGCCTTATTATCAGCTAGTTTGTGAATAGCATCATGCACCTCATGGGTCGTTAAACATAAAGATTCATCATTAATAACAGAGCCATCCTCATGCTGATCACTTTTTAAACAATTAGAGATGATTTGCAATTATTAGTTGTTTTCCCATCTTTCCAAAAACCTTTGACATCATTACTCATAAATTTCCTGACCATAGAATCTGCCCACATGATCTGCTCATTTTTTGATATAAAACGAACAGCATACTTATATCTGGCATTAGCACGTTTTTTCTGCTCAAATTCCAGACCTTGCTTAGGTCTCCCAATCATATCCCAAAGTTTAAAAGCTACCTGTGCTTCATCCTGATACATGGCAACCTGTTCTTTCCAGCCAGGCCTGACATGAGGTTTCTGCTTATGCTTACCTTTGACATGAAATGGTCTACCACTTTCATACAAAGCATCCACTATATCCTCATACATAGAGCATAGATCACTTTTGTGTTTGAGGATCTTACAATTAACATCTTTACACAGGATAGCCTCTTTAGCCACACAGATATTGTTTAGGTATTGATCTGTATTATTTTTATAAGCCAATATGTCTTTGTCACTTAATGCTGCTTGATACTTTTTTCAAAAACCTTTATTAGCAACTTTTAAACGAACAGCCAAACAATTATTTGAAATAAATTTTACTTTATTGCTGCTTTGTCTAAAAGTTTAAGAGCATCAACTAATTGTCCTAAAATTAACTGCTTTAATTAGAAAATACATATTTTCAGAAAAGGAACGTGACCCTTATTAAGAGAGGATCTCCTCATCATCGGGTGGGGCTGGAAGTAGAGCTGCTTTAGATGATTTAGCTTTTCCCTGCCAAGACGCCTTAGCGGGGTTTATAATTTAACACCAGGTAAAATCCAGGTGTGGCGAGATATCGAGACAGATGTGGAAGTAGCTTGGATTCATTCACAACACAGATTACTATCTTGTGAGATTAGGAAAATAGTTTTTCTTTTATTTTGACAAACACTGAGACCTTTTTATGTCTCTGATTTACTAAACTATCAAAAGATGTGTGCTATTTATTAAATTGCTGCATTCTGAATGTTTTGTTGGGCAAATAAAACATCGCTCCCTTGGGCTCGCTGACAGGAAGGTGCTTTATTTTCATTTTCATTTCATTTCATTTATTTATTCATGAATCAATATTTCTGTAAATGTGCCAGTTAGCCGGCAGGCTAATTTTCAACGGTAGTTACTAAGCACATTTATAAATAAGGCTTGGAGTTGAGTTGAGAAAAGCTAATATTTATGATTTCAAATATTTTTAATCATTTTTCCCCAGCAGGACTTTTTGACTCATCCTGACATGTTTGGACCGGCCTGTGTTATATTTCAGAACTCTGGTCCCTCCTGCTCCACGTGCTGGTGCCATCTAGATCACCTGCACAGGTAGAAACTCCTCCCCTATGCAGTTTAGTGTCATTATTTTGGTCGTATTTAAGCTTCTTCGAGCTGTTTAAAGTTGTGTTTTGGTCATTCTACCGTGTAGCCCTGAGGTAATACTAGTCCCCACAAACCAGCCAGGTAATAGTCCCCGCCCCGCCGCTTGCCTACCTGATTTTGTAGTTGGGTAAGGTGTGTTTCCTCTTGATGACCCGCTTCAGCTGGTTAACTATGAAGGAGGTGAGCTGGGACAGCGGCCTCCCCTCAAACTGAGACTTCACCTCAAAATCCACCAGCGGGTCCTCCACGAACGAGAAGGACCAGTGAGAGAAGGGCATGCGCGTGAACTGCAGCCTCAGCCTGCCCACCACGCGCCGCATCTTAACGAACAGGTAGGCGGACTTCCCAAACACCAGGTCCACGTCTATGGCCAGGTGGAAGCCGCCGCTGTACTCGATGTCCACCTCGAAGTTGAGCTCCTCGGGCATCCCGTCCTCGTTCATCTGGACCGGTTTCATCAGCCGCGCGCTTTTGAGGAGCGGAAGTGAGTTCCCCAGGGAGATGTCCCGGAGACTCAGCCCCTCCAGGAGCCGGCCGGCGGTCTTGGTCTGCAGCAGCTCCTCGAACTCCACCTTGATCTTTTTGGTGATCCAGTGTCTGACCGCCGGGGTGTCCCGGAGCTCCCGGAACAGGAACAGGAATATCGCGTTAAGGAAATTGCAGGTTTCGGCTCTGCCCGCATCGAGGGGCTCGCTTTGTGAAGGCGGTGGCGGCGGCTGTTTGGGGCTACCGCCGCCGGACACCGCCGCTTCCGGCTGCCTGCTGCTGAAGGCGGCCTCCTGATGCCGGGATGCAGCCGCGGCCGAGCCGTCCTGCTGCTGGTGCTGGTTCGGCTCGGTGTGCGGGGTATTAAAGTAATCCTTCAGCGCGTCGTCAGGCACCACTTTGACATACTGAACGGTCCTGCCGAGGGGCTCCGGGCTCCTCCGGTAAATGAGCAGGAACTGCAGCAGCAGCGTGAGAACCGCGCCGCAGAACGCGGAGATCAGAATTAAGTAAATCATGTCGAGCTGTCGGCCAGAAACCCGCTCACGGCCACCGGGAGCCGCGGCTAGACGAGACAATGCTACTCCCACCTGGTCATCTGCTGGTTCCTGAGCGCAGGGCGCCGCACCTGATTGGTCGAACCCTGTACGTCTCTGTGCGTAATGACGGAGTTGTTTCACCCGATGCGTTCAGGGTGTGTCGGATTTTAGAGAGTTACCGGAAAACCCCTGAAGAAAACATCTGTCTGTCTAAATGAGTAAAATCCAAAAGGTCTCATGTCTTTTGATCCTTTTTTATCATTTATTTATGGATCTACAGTTTACTCTTTTTATTTAGATTTTTTGGGGGAGTTCTAAACATTTTAGCGTCACTAGTCTACTCGTGGTAATCTAGTACTAGTTACAGTACTACTACCAAGTTCCAGCTGACTGACTTTTGGGCGATGGGAGGAGAGACAGAGCGATAACAGATCAGGGCGTTGATCCGGTTTGTGTCTGGATCTCACGTTCTCCCCACTAGTGCTCATGAGCTTTTGACAGAAATATGGAGAACTTGGATGAAAACACCTGCCAGGATCTTCCTCTGTAGGGAGGCACAGCTCAGCCCCAGAGATGATGATGGTGAGGAGCTGGGAACTCTGAGTAGAAACGCCACTCCTTCTTATAGACAGAAGGGGATTCAAGCATCTGATTTGGATGCCTCCTGGTAAATTCCCTTTGAAGGGTTTCCTGCTTTGTTGTTTGAGGAGATCCCAGAGCAGGCTCTGGAGGGATTAAAGATGCTTGAGAATCCTCCAGGAGCAGGAGAGGAAGATCAGAGTTTCTCGTCTGGACCTGGACTTACCTCTGTGATCTGACCTTTCTCTGATCTATTCCCTCCAGCCTTTTCTGCCTGTTTAATTTCACACTTCCCTGTTTGCTGATTGGAGGGAAGTGATGAATGAAACAGCTGTTAGATCTAAACTCATCACTGTTACAGGTACAACGCCTAAACTTTTAAAGCCTTTTAGCAGATTATTATTTTTCTCTTATGGATACAAGGCCTAAACCATTACTCCCAAAAGTCTCTCTGTCTCCATGTCTTCGTGTTTACACAGAGTTCCTACCAGGTTCTGGTTCCCATCGTGATATAAAACCTAAAACAAACCAGCCTGCCAGGAGCTGGTCTCTGAAAGACCTTCGTTGTGCTGCTGAAACGAGACCATGGCTCTGTGGTGAAGCAGGAATCAAATGATCAACGCTGAGACACTTTGGGTTCTCTGTGGTTAAAAGCTCCAGCTCCGCGTCTCCATGTGGACATGCTGCGGAGAACAGGTTTCAGGATTTCCTGGGAGGCTTCTCAGTAGAGACGACTCCTCACGGTGAACATGAAACCGGTGACATCTGCTGGGTCCGTTTACACCGTCTCCACCTGGCTGGTTAAAGAGACGGCTCACATCCACCGTCCGACCGTCAGATCCTGACCGCTGAACAGAACAGAGTCAGGATTGCTGAATAAAACAGATGGTCTGTGAACACACCAGCCTGGTTCCACCTAGGCTTTTTTCTTTGAGTTTCAGGTCCAGTAATGATTCACCGTGTTCAGGAGGAACCAAGCATTATTAAACGATCCACGCATGAACAGACTCACTGTCTCACCATGAAAGAGCCTCTAGATGTTTTACAGCTGTCTGGATTTACGTGTTAGTGACAGATTTAGATCAGATGCAACTTTACATGTTCAGATTTGGTTTTAGGGTTTTGTGTTGAGCTTCATATTTAGATTCATGTTTAGTTGTGACATCATTTTTTAAGCAGATGTGATGAACATAATTTTTGTTGTGAGGGGTTAAACTAGGAACTAAACTTTGAGCCGACCTTTGACCCTTTGATAAGTGCTGATCGTCAGGGCATTGACGGCCATCCTGCCAGATTTAAAACTTTAAAAACGAGTTTTAGGTTTCTACGACATGAAATAAATGCTGAAATAAACAAATGTTTGCTATTTCTGAAACAGGCTGATGACGTTGGACAGGATCAACATTCGGATCATGACGTCATCAGACGGAGCTGTCACACGTTGCATTGCCTTTACCGTCCAGCAGAGGTCTCTGTTGTTTAGCTTTTTGTCTCCCTGTTCTTCCAGTAAAAGCTGAAAAACGTTTTCATATCTTTTAAAAGCTGCATTTGCATAATTTGGGAAATAAAGATTCATTTTTTCTAATGTATTTAGTCCAGTCACACACACACACACACACACACACACACACACTTAGAGCTCCCATGAACCTTTGAAAGGTAAACGGTTGTAAAGTATCAACATTTCAAACCAACCAGTTCTCTTTTCAACCAGTGGTGGCTGGTGAAAAAATTCTTGGTGCGGCTGTATGTGAAATATTTTCCATCTTAGTTCATAATAGGTATCAAAATAAACAGTGGGGAAATTACTATAATTCCAAAACAACTATTAATTTCCCTCCTCCAAATAAGCAGTACATTAACATATAAAGCTGTCTATAATTGCAATAATTCTCGAATAAATGCACGAGCCTTCTGTGTGAGTCGTTAGGAGCAACTGCAGTCAATAAGCCTGTGTCTCAACCATCTACTCAAAGAAGCACACCTCATAACACAACAGTGTTTTCCTTTCATTTTTTCTTCTGAACAATGTTGTTTTTTCTGTGAATTGGACTAAGAATACTTCACTTGACTTGACAATACTCATCTAGGCCAGTGACATTAACATAACTTACAAAATGAATTATTTGCTGTTTTAAACAACGTAATATCATGAAAGTAGAACAAATAAATACAATTTGCAGCAAGCTAGGATTTAATACAATTCGTGAATGCTGTTATTTGTTGCCTCGGTGTGCGGGTGTCTGTATGTGTGCGCGCGCGTACGACGGATGCTGTAAATTCCAGAAGGAGCCTGAAGGCAGCACCATTCGGAGCAGCATCTCATCAGTGTGCAGCCACCGGTTGGCACGCGCTCGTCTCTCTGCCTCCTACCGGATGATGACCGACTGCTTCACGTTTTTTATGGACTTTTAGAGGCTTTTATTCCGTTTCTGAGCCTCTCTGCTGACAGAGTGGCTTCCTGCTGGCGGCATGAACACTTTAATGGCCTGTAAGCAAACTTTTGGTGAGTCTAACCTTTCTGTTTGGTTGGTTTATTGTTGCAACGCATATATTTGGGGTTATTAATCCAGAATAACGTCAGCTACAAACCGGTCAGAAGTACTGAAGTTGTCTTAGTTCATCCAGAAAGTTTCCATCCAATAAAAACAAAGAGAAACGCTGTAGAGACGGTGGGAAAAGCCTAATTAGTCCCCGTTAACGGGTCCGGTGGATTATTATCACTAATAAGGAAACAAGCTCATCACCTCGTGTTCCGGCTCAGTTGGTTTGGGTCGAATCTCTGACTTGTTTTCAAATCAGCTTTAATGTTTTCATGTGTTCGTAATTAAATCAAATCTTAACGAACTTTAAAAAATAAAATCCTGTAGGTGTGAATTGGTCACCTCGTTTCCTCTTCATAAACGTGTGTGTGTGTGTGTGTGTGTGTGTGTGTGTGTGTGTGTGTGTGTGTGTGTGTGTGTGTGTGTGTGTGTGTGTGTGTGTGTGTGTGTGTGTGTGTGTGTGTGTGTGTGTGTGTGGTTTCCTCTGCTCTCTCTTTCACACTTGACCTTTCCAGAACAGTATACTGGAAGCAGGTGGAAGTGGCCCAGTGGACGCTTGTTTTACTGCCCTGACCTCAGTAATCAGATTAAACTAATAAAAGTCACAGATTAGAACTATTTCATTTGTAATCCGGTGTCTGATTGTGTTTTATCATCATGGGCTGATTCTCCTCACTGTCATTCATTCAGTTTCTTCTAATAAAAAACATGTTTATAAACATGTTTATGTTGTTTAAGCAGGAAGTTGTTTTCCTAAGAATGAATGATTCACCCAAACCAACAAAGTGGGATGGATGGATGGATGGGGTATAAGCCTTTTACACAACTTTAATCCAAAACCCAGAATAACTCAGCTTAAACAGGACAAAATCCAGAAACAAATGCTGAAGAAAAGGTTTTTCCTGACTTCCAAACAAAAATAGATCTTCATTTTATTCACCAACTTTACTTACTGCTCCTGACAGTTTTATCATCATTTATTTTTAAATAGACATATATAGGACTGAATATGGCAGGGTTCTAATGAAGGTAATCCTTCATTTCAATTATTCCTGGTGGCCACTGATTTGTTGTAATGTAGTCCCAAGTCTAAATCAGCTCCTGGAAATCTTTCGTATTACTTCTTACTTTTCATTTGCAGTCGACACGATTATTGAGCTCACCAGGAATAATTGGTATCATTACTGAGTCATTTTAATCACTTTTGCACAAAAAATGTTAGTTCCTATTCACTTCCATTGTTTATGCTAAGCTAAAGCAAACCGCCTGCTTCCAGACCAGCAGGATTACTGCGCTGGTTACACAATGCTTTTTTCCCACTTACCTAACTCTGGGATGTTCGGAAATAGACAAAATTTCTATTAGGGGTGGAATATTGCTTTAATGCTAAGTTGCCTTGTTCTGATTCTCTTCATTTTGTTAGGTTTATTTAAGCGGAGACATTTTTTTAATTTAAGCTGAGACATGCTGACTCATCATTTAAGATATGAGCAATTTTTAAAAAATATGCAGTTTGCTCACAGCTCACGCCAGAGACTACAATGTATGCTACCTGTTAGCACACCACCTGTTAGCATGCTACCTGTTAGCGTGCCACCTGTTAGCTTGTTATCACACACCACCTGTTAGCATATTATCTGCTAGCACGCTATCTGTTAGCACACCACCTGTTAGTATGCTACCTGTTAGCACGCCACCTGTTTGCGTGTTATCTATTAGCACGCCACCTGTTAGCATATTATCCGCTAGCATGCTATCTGTTAGCATAACACCTGTTAGCATGCTACCTGTTAGCACGCCACCTGTTAGCGTGTTATCTATTAGCACACTACAGTTAGCACGCCATCTGTTAGCTTGTTATCTCTTAGCACGCTACCTGTTAGCATATTACTTGTTAGCATACTACATCTTAGCCACCACCTCTTAGCTTGCTACTTGTTAGCATGCCACCTGTTACCATGCTACCTTTCAGCATGCCACCTGTTAGCACACCACCTAGTAGCGTGCTACCTGTTAGCATGTTATCTGTTAGAACTCTACCTGTTAGCACACCACCTGTTAGCATGCTACCTATTAGCATGTTACCTGTTAGCATACCATACCATACCATACCAAGTTTATTTATATAGCACATTTAAAAACATCATGACAGCTGACCAAAACGCTGTACATTAGTAATAAAAAGGAAAAAACCCAAGATAAAAACAAGATAAAAATCATATAGGAGATAAAAGGAACAACCTAACAATTTCAAAGAAACATACTAGAGTAAAAAACAGAGTCACAATAAAAACATAAAAACAATAAAAGCTTGGTCATTGATCAAAAGCTAAATGATAGAAGTAGGCCTTCAGTACAGACTTGAATCGACCCAGTTCTGGGGCCTGTCAAACACTAAGGGGGAGAGCATTCCAAAGTTTAGGGGCAGCAAACGCTACCCTTAAACTATCTTTTTATTCCAGTTGGAGAAGTTTTTGTGTTTACTGATGTTGATCAGCATTCAAATCTATTCAGTGTGTAACAGGCGCGCGCGCGCGCACGCACACACACACACACACACACACACACTGTTCAGTCGGACAAGCAGACAGAAAAACAGCAGAGGGCTGGAGGAATTCTTTCCACTTCTTCAATGGAGGAAAAAGGGGAAGCGAGCAGCTCTGAGCTATATCGTTTTGCATTGACTGATTTTGGCTCTATATAAATAAACTTGAATTGAAAAATTTAACTTGTGAGTAGCCAAGCCAGCCAGAAGTGTGGCTGAGACTCGACTGCCATGCAGTGCAGCCATGTAATCCGGTACTGGTAATGTCACAGGGTACCGATTCGCTATTTGTTATGGCTGACTCAAATGAAATGTAGGTTTGATCTGAAGAAGAAAAAATAATGACAGTTTTAGGCTAAATTCGATTAAGATACACTAAACTTCAAAAATAACGACTACATATGTCTACAGCACCATTACGCTGCAGAAACATAAAAGTTTTAGAATAAAAACATTTTAAAGACACAATTTAAAACCAATATTTCTTCTATCATGTTCTCTAAATAAAGTTTTCGTTGAACTTCTGTGCTGCAGACGTCACTCATGAGTTTATTTTCTATCCTATATGATCAGCAGGGAAAAAGCTTGTTGGGTTTGTTGTTTCCATGATGTTTGGTGTCTGTAGATTAAGATCAGCTTTCTACTCATCATCTGATTAGCAGAAATCCACAGGAAGTGATGACGGTGTTGCCAAAAATAGACGTTTTAGGGTTTGAGAATGCGCGTCAGTAGTGATAGGAACCACTGTCTTCCATCAGCTGTAACCATCAGGCTGGTTTCTGTTCTGGACCATCACCATAGTTTTGGCCCAGGACCAACTAGCTAGTCACATGGCAGTGATGTCATACCTTCTCAAATCCAGCAAACATGCAGGCTAGTGATGGATACCACCTGTCGGTATCATCCTGCAGGTTTGGAGGAGTGATGCAGCAGCAGCATAGTCAATCAGCCATTGTTCAGTTAAAAGAGCAAAAACTATAAAGTTTCACGCTGATTTTTAGAAGTAAAAAAAAAACACCAGGTAATGAAAACGTCTGACATGTCTGTGTGAAATTTTAGAGCAAGAGCTATTTTTGAATACCATTTAAAAATCTCAAAGCGCTTACAGTAAAAAATAAAGGAAAGTTAAGTTTTACTAAAAACAAATATTTTTAGTCCTTTTTCAAAGCTGTCTGTAGGTCAGGGTGCCCTTAAACTGTCGGGGGGCTTCCACAGGTGGGGTGCAGCAGCACAGAACGCTCCGTCGCGCTCAATCTGGGTCTGGGTCTGGGTCTGTGGAGCGGATGTGAGTGAGTGGAGGTTAGTGCGGTGAGACGGTCTTATAGATAAGACGATGTCTCCAGCAGACACAGTCCTTCCTGGTTTTAGGGTTTGGCTGGACACACACACAAACACACACACACACACACACACTCTAGGAACTTGTGATTAAAGGGGCATGTTGTGGCAGAACTAAAAACAGTCTCCTCGCTGCCGTGGTGGGCTAAACCTGGGACCCACTGATGACGCGTTCGTAAGTTTACTGCATTTCTTCGTTCATTTATTCTACATCGTCATCAAGCGCCACAACTTCCTGTTAGTCGGACATTTCAATAATAATAATAATAACAATAACAATAATCATCATCATCATAGTGCTTGTTTAGGACACTCAAAGATGCTTCCATGCACTCTCATATTCACACACTGCCAGTGATGGTAAGCTACTTTGTAGCCACAGCCGCCCTGGGGCGGTCTGACAGAGGCGAGGTTGTCGGCCCCTCTGACCACCACCAACACAGGCAAGTTGGGTGAAGTGTCTTGCCCAAGGACACAACAGCAGAATACCCCTGGCAGGAGCTGGATCATGAGGCAACCCGCTCTACCTCCTAAGCTACTGCTGCCCCAATTTAAGCTCATGAATGAAACAACAAAGTCGTAAAGTGAGTTTGCGTAGGGCTAGGGTGGTAAAAACGGACTTTCCCAGGCTCACCACACCATCATCCTCAGCAGGTGAAAGTGCAGCCCTAAATGACCTCGCACACCAAAGGTGGCACACCCCCTCATAAAAGGGCCAATCAAGTGCGCTCACATGGCTGACACCAACAAACATACCTATTAGCTCCTATAGGGCAGTCATAAGACACGTCACTCTGACATCAAAGCTAAATGCAGAATTATAACAACAGAACTTTTGCTCCGGACAACAAACCATGAGATCACCGCTACGTGATCGGATTGTTGCAAAGCTGCCATTAAGCTGTTGGTGGTCCATCACTGGTTTTTCTGGATTCTTGTCTGACCCCTTTAAGACTTCTGATTTCTCTTATCAGACTCAAACTGCCCGTATCTTCCAGCCATGATCCTTTTAATCCCGGAGGTTTGGATTTCCATCTCGCTTCAGACGGTGTGTAACCGTCACTTCCTCCAGGTTCGGCT